AGGTTTTCTGACTCTGTGTTTGCTGTGTTCCTCTCCTATAACCTGGAGATAATGTATCTGTCTCTTAGGTTTGTTATAAGCAATAAGTGAATCAATGTTCGCAAAATGCTCAGAAGACATAGGGCACATAATTGTCAAAAATTCATCTAATCTAAAAAGTATGCTTTTTTATTAAATGCTTTGCAAAAGTTAAAAGCACAAAATTGTTTATAACCTAGAAAGGGAATATTAGTAAAAAAAAAATAGTTAAGATTTAGGAGCACATAGAAGTATTTCCTTGTTTAATATTAAATAACTCACAAGTGTTGCTAATTAAATTTTTAACAACCCATAAAATGAAGGCTATTCTTATCCCTGTCACCTTTTCTATAGCTATTGTGTCCCTAATTTTAACTGCTTTATTCCTTTCATGATTTAGATTTCATAATCTATTATCAATCACTTTCTTACCCATACACTAAACTACCCTCTCCTCTCTGCCCCCTCCAATCTTATATAAACTTCCTAAGAGTGTAGGGATTTTGATTCACTGCAGTATTCCCAATGCCTAGAACAGTGCTGCCATATAGTAGGTGCTTAATAAATATGTAATGAACGATTGAGTTCTTCTTTTGCAGAAGTGGAAAACAAGACACAGAGCAGTCAGATCATTTGCCCACAGTCAACACGGTAGTAAGTCATTAAGATGAGATTTACACCTGGATCTGTGCCTTTGAAATATAACTGCTAAATCCTAGGTGCTGTAGGAGTTAAGCAAGACAGATGGTCAAGGAGGGCTGGAATATATACCAGGAGGAGATATATGGAAGGACGAAGGGTCCCAGGGAAAGAGAAGGCGGGAGATAATCTTTAATGAGAGGAGAGTAACATAAAATAAAGGCACAGACAGGACTAAAACAAGGGCAGAGACGGAAGCCCAACTGCACCCATGTAAAATCTTCCCACCAAAATTTTAATTCACTGTGGTTCCTTGTCTAGCTTGGCTTTAATACAATATCTGTATTTCAGCATTTGAAATCTAGAGGAAAACATGATTGACCTTGGGTGTCTGGCACATCAGTGAGAATTTCTTTTAAGCCTTCATATATGACCGTGCCCTGAGATTCCATTGCCAATGAAATCAGTCCACCGCAATATAAACTGTTGCCTAAAATTCCTTTAAAAGCTTTTAATTCATACAATACAATAAAAATTCCTCCACCTTTGTGAATCTGAAACTTGCTTAAAAAGAAAACTGAAGTACCCAGGGATGGTGGTGCAAGCCTGTAATCCCAGCAGCTGGAGGATGAGGCGGGAGGATCCGAAGTTCAAAGCCAGCCTCAACAACTTAGTGAGGCCCTAGGCAACTCAGTGAGACCTTGTCTCAAAATGAAAACTAAAAAGGGCTCAGCAAGAAAGCACCCGGAGTTCAATCCCAAATACCAAACAACAACAACAACAATAACAAAACCCCCCGAAGTTGGATCAATAAGAACTATTTTTTTCTAGCTACAATTTCCAAGGATTAAAAACTCAACACAATAAAAAAAAACTAGTGATATGTATTATTAATAGGTAAAAAGCAACTACTCCCGTGTACCTTTAAACCATCAAAGTAGTTTTCTAAACTACAGAAGAGGATGTAAATTCTAAGAAAGTTGTCCATCTTTCTGGTTTCAATTGCCAGTATTTAAAAATGATACTAGAGTTTAATCTTCCATAACTATTTTTTCAATATTATTTAAATTTGACTTATTAGGAGAACCCCAGGACAAGCATTGAATACTTAATCATTCTCTAATTCATTTACTAGGACATGTTAAAGCTCTGTACACAAGATAATACTAGTCATTTCTTGGTTCCTATAGCTTAAACTTGATATTTCAATTAATAACTTGATATTTCAATAAATTAGTAAAATGAGAATATTTACCATAAGACTATAAAATTCTTCAGGAAGAGAACACTATTGCATTTTAAGAGTTTGCTTCAAAAAATTATAAAAACAAATGAAGGGGCACCATTCCAAAAGCACTAAAAATACATTAAACTTAAAGGAATACATTCTGAGCACTTTTCTTTCTTTTTCCAAGCACTTTTAATAATGTGACTACAAGACAAATCTATTCTCACAGAAAGTTCCAGGATCTCTGGAGTGATTTCTAGAGACACAATCAGCGATGTTCTTATGACAGGAAATACAATTAATTATACTTACTTTAGTGGGGTGGACAATATTTGTTTTAACTCAATTTTTAAATTACATATACATTTATTGCTTCATATAACAATATTTTACAGGAGAAAAAAATTAAAGTCGAATAAATATGGGAAGCGCCAAAAGCCCATTTATGCAACACAAATTCAAATTCATAATAAGAGCAACTTGTATTCAATTGGTGACACTAAGTGAGGAGAAGATTGTATTCATATACATTCTTTTAACTTTCAGTGAGATGAGAATTTTAAAAATTATAAGGAAAAGAGGGTGATTAAAACCAGGAATAGGATAAGCACACCTGCTTTCACTATTCTTTTAAACATTATTCTGGAGGTCCTAGTCAGTGGAAGAAAGAAGGAGGAAGGATTAGAAAGGAAGAACCAAATGTTATTATTCATAGATGATGTAATTTTTTTTTATAGAGAGAGAATTTTAATATTTATATTTTTAGTTTTCGGCGGACACAACATCTTTGTTTGTATGTGGTGCTGAGGATCAAACCCCGGCCGCATGCATGCCAGGTGAGTGCGCTACCGCTTGAGCCACATCCCTAGCCCCAATTTTTATTTGTTTATATATTTTTGGTACTAGGGATTAAATCCAGGGGTGCTTAACCACTGAGCCACAATCCTAGTCCTTTTTCTTTTTTTTTTTTTTTTTTTTTTAATTTTGAGACCGGGTCTTGCTAAATTGCTGGGATTACAGGTGTGTACCACATGCCTGGATCTTATCCCTTTAATTTTTTTTTTTTTAATTATGACACAGGATTTCCTTAAATTGCCAAGGCTGGCCTCAAACTCATGTAATCCTCCTGCTTCAGCCTCCTGAGTCACTGGGATTATACATATGTGTGGCACCCCCAGCTTCTTTTGCAGGTTTTAGAGCATGTTTTCCACATAATTTGTCAAGTCTGTAATCTAAGCATTTCATTTTTTGGATGCTATTATAAATCGTATTTTCGTTTTTTCTTTCTTTCTTTTTTGGTACTGGGGATTGAACTCAGGGGCACTCAACCACTGAGCCACATCCCTAGTTCTTTTTTGTATTTTACTCCATGAGACAGGTTTTCACTGAGTTGCTTAAGGCTTCACTTCTGCTAAGGCTGGCTTTGAACTCACAATCCTCCTGCCTCAGCCTCCCCAGCCACTGGGATTACAGGCGTGAGACAGGTTTTCACTGAGTTGCTTAAGGCTTCACTTCTGCTAAGGCTGGCTTTGAACTCACAATCCTCCTGCCTCAGCCTCCCCAGCCACTGGGATTACAGGCGTGTGCCACTGTACCCAGCTCTATTTCAATTTTTGATCGCCTGTTGCTTGTGTATAAAAATACAACTAACTTTTGTATATTGATCCTGTATCATGCAACCTGACTAAAATTACTTATTAGTAATGTCCTGTTTATAGGATTGCCTCTGTAAATAGATGATCATGTTGCTGCAAATGAAGACAGTTTTACTGCAAACTTTCTAATCAGGAAGCCCTTTATTGTCACCTCTTGCCTTACTGCGCTGGCTAGAACCTTTAGTATAAATGTTGAGTAGAAAGCAGTGAAAAGAGACATCCTCACCTTGTTCTTGATTTGGAAAAAGCAGTCCATATTTCACCATTAAATATTATGTGAGCTGTAGGCTTTTCACAGATACAGTTAGGTCCTACTTTTTAGTCCTACATGATAATCTGTGTTTTAATTGAGATGTATAAATTAATGTGATTATTGATATGGTTAGATTTAAATTTACCATACTATCCATTTTGTTTCTCCAATCTGTTCTTTATTTCCTCTGACTTCTTTTTGTGCCTACTTATTTTATTTAAATTTTGTTGTTGACGTTGTTACTAGGGATTGAACTCAGGGATGCTTAAACACGGAACCACATCCCCAGCCCTTTTTTGTTTTTTATTTTGAGACAGGGTCTTGGCTAAGTTGCTTAGGGCCTCACTAAGTTGCTGAGACTGGCTTTGAATTTGCAATCCTCCTGCCTCAGCCTCCTGAGCTGCTGGGATTCCAAATGTGCACCACCATGCCCAGCGAGAAGCCATTTGGCGGCGGGGGGTGGGGGAGTGTTTTTTCAATATTTTATTTTTTTTTTAGTTCATGAAATACAAATCAAAATAACTTTTGCTTACATATCACTTGAACAAGCTTGATATTCTTTTCAGTACATGGTGAACCAATACAGGTACTTAAGCATTTCCTTTTTAAATATAATACATCTTGTTTTGGAGCAAAACAGCTTATCAGAAAGAGTCAGGGCATACCCACCAACTTAAAATTTGGTCCACTAAAATATATCAGTATTCCTCCTATATCAAAAATAAAGTAACGCTCATAGTTGGAAAAAACCAGAAATATTTGGCATAGGCCTCTGAGTAATCTTGAAAAACAAGCTAAGATGTATTTCAACTCTATAGAGGAACACAAAAAATCCACCTAGAAACATCTGACAGAGAAACTGGTCTGTTTGCTGTTGGGATTCTTCTGCTTCAGAGGGGAAGAGAAGGTACACCAGAGGGTGATGAAGACCCACCACAGCCTTAGAACCACTTCCTGAGAATTAATAAAAATTTAATGCAGAGTAACATAGGACAACAGTACAACAATCTCAACAGTTATTCAAACGCCTGGAAAGCAAATTGTAAGCTTAGAACAGGTAACCCCATCAGGAACAATACAACACATTTATCCAGTTTTTGAAGGTGAGAAAACATCATTCATATGTGAGACTTGGTGTAACAAGTACCTTAGGTTCTAGGATCCTGGGGACAACAAAACATCCAAAGTAAGAATATATCCAAGCTGCTTAACCTTCAACCATTGTCTTGAGTATTAAACCCAGGCCACCTCTGGACCCTTGCAGTGGTGTCTTTTCTTCCTCATTCTCAATGTATATACTTGCTCCCTGGGACCCTAGCAGCTTTGCTTCTTCTACTCTCTCACAGGCTAAGTGTAGAGGAGTGTTACCCTCCGTGTCTTGGATGTTTGTGGATGCCTTGTAGTACAGAAGGCTATGAATCGTCTTCAGGTTACCCTTGGCTGCTTCCTCGTGCATTGCTGTAGCCTCATAATGAGCATCTGGATTAGGCCCACCTTCTAGGAACACAGCAGCAATCTCACGCCTGTTTTTGGAAGCAGCACAATGTAGGGGAATATAGCCATTTTGATTGGTGGCATTTACATGCGCACCTTTTCCCAGGAGAGCTTTTATGATTTCATCCCGGCCAGCAGAAGCTGCAATATTTAGAGGAGACCGGCCTGCATCTTCTTTATCATTTACTGGCACTCCAAGATGCAGCAAGAACTCAACAATTTCAGTATGTCCTGCTGAAATCAGAAATAGTCAGGGCATACCCATCAACTTAAAATTTGGTCCACTAAAATATATCAGTATAATATACCAGTCCAGTAAAATATACCAGTGCAATGCGGTTCTGCTATCCTGGCCAGTTCTAGTAGCCAGTGATTTATAGGCCAGGATGCGCTCCTTGAATTCCTCTAGCTTTTCACTGTAGGCCGGGTTGCAGACCAACCAGTTAGACACACACACCTATGTGTCACTTTTCCAGGATCTCCAGGAAGCGCAACCAACTCCCACCTCATATCCCAGGCTCTAGAAGCTGTTTTTAAGAAGTGTACTTTGTTTTCAGTTTAGTTTAGTTCCCCCGCCCCAACACACCCCTGCAGGCAGAAATGTAGTTCATATTCCTGAAACTCCAGAAGTCCTGCTTTTAACTTGCCCCCACCCCCAGCCAGGGGTTCACTATGCTGCCCAGGCTTGTCACAGCTGGTAAAGGGCTCAAGTGATCCTCCTATCTCAGCCTCTTCAGTAGTTAAGACTAGAGGTGCCTACCAAGCACCTGGCTTTTGCTTTTAACGTTTTTGAGATTCATTTAAAGTCTTATCATTGACATAGATCAATGGTCGAAAGCTAGTTATCCATAGCCAAATCTTCCTCACAAGTGTGTTTTTTTGGTTATTTAATTTGTTCAAGTAATTTTCCAGGACGGAAAAGTTAAGGGAAATTTCTAGCTATTGTTGAAACATCTCCTTTGGTGATACCTTAAAAAAAAAAAAATCTGCGGAGTATTCAGGAAGCTAACATTCAGAAATCAAAGCAGTGGAGGGTGTTGGTTAGGCTGGATTTCTTCCTGATTGTGTGACACCCACCCCGCTCCTTATATTCTCCATTCTTCTCCATCCTGCCTGCCCAGTGCTTAGAGACTGCCCTCCATGACATCAACAGATTTCCCAGCCCTTTAAATTCTCACTGGATTCAGCCAAACTGGGGCATGGGTAGGGAAATCAGAGGGTGGGAGGAAAGCCCCAACTCCCTGCAGGTTTATCAGAAGTTGGATACTTTCTTCCTAAGAATGCAGCTTTTGTCATCTGGCCTCACCCATGCTGCCCTCTTTTTTGGAATCCAGTGACCCTTCCCCAGTGCAAAGTAGCTAGGAATCAGAGAAACCAAATGGAAACTTGCTAGACCCTACTGTCCTAAACCACAGTCTCCTACAGCAACCTTACTTCCTGGTTACCAGGCTAAAAATGTGACACATACTTTTTTTTCCCCTAAAACTCAAGGGGAAAGAGGACATTTCAGGACTTGAAAATACTTGTCTTTTCCCAATGGATTTCTTTTTGCTGAGGGGGAAAGAAGAATGAGAGGGTGTTATTTTGAGATATCGGCCTCTGGATTAAAATGCAATTGTATTCCTGGAGATACTCTTCTGTTTACATTCTGTGTTTAGAAAGAGTGTTTCATCAATATCTTTAAGATCTCCTCCTACAGTGTAGTCTGTTTACACAATGTTTTGACAGTTCTCAGCAGAAAGATCTCTAAAGGAAATATTAGGTACCACTTTATCATTTTATTCTAATTATTTGCTGCATTCTGTGATCTCAGCTCAATGATGTTCAACTCTAGAACACAAAAATACACTCCCACATACAAATATGCACATATATATATATATATATATATATATATATATATATATATATATATCTTTGCATACTACCTCATGCTTCTCTGTGTTTTTATACAACAGCAAAGTAGTTTCTACCTGCAGTCTTCTAAATATTTAGTCGTGAGTACAGGTAATTTGGTTAATTAGATCAACAATAATCTTTTTTGTTGTTGTTGTTTTTTTAGCAGAGGATCTAAAATCTTGGAAGAAAATGTACCAAAGAATTTTCTTGGATTTTGGATTTATAAGATAAAGACAAAACTTGCCTGCTAAGATTAAGAAAATCAGCATATACGTTGTATGCTTCACTACCCCAGAGCTGAGTATAGGTCAGAGTGCATGGTGAAGCAGATGCTACTACATTACAGGCTTATACTTCAGGAAAAAAAGATGTTTAGATCCATCATTTAGATCTCAAATATTACTCAACACCTGGAAAACAACACAAATAATGAAAACTATATTTTAGAACTTAATGTTTCATTTAAATTTCAAATATTACTCAATGCCTGGACAACAACACAAATAATGAACACTATATTTTAGAACTTAATTTTTCTATAAGTAAATATTTTCCAGGTCTCTGAAAATTTCATGTCTCCTGTATAAGGTCCAACCCATGGTATATGGCAGAGCTAATGGGTTATCATGGGGTTTGGCAAACCAGATAACCACTGTGGCACTGGTTATCTGGTGTCATATCCTGCCTCTCTGTAGTGGGGTGGGCAGAGCTGGAGAAGTCTCTAAGGTGCTTCCCAGATCTCCAATTCAGTGACTGGGCAATGCTGACTGGTTTGGGAACTGAGTAAGAAGTTTTATTCAATAGAAGGCTCTGCTCTTATGGCATTAATATTAGGACATTTCAAGAAATAGTGATGATTAAAGGGCACTGCAGCAAACATTCTGATTTTCTGGTGGTCTGGGGAATAGTCTTTAGAGGCTACAATTTGGTGTTAGAGATGGGGAACGGGTCAGACTCCAAGCAATGGAAACTGCAGGATACAATCTACCCTTCCTGCTGGGTGTGGTGGTGCACACCTGTAATCCCAGAAGCTCTGGAGGCTGAGGCAGGAGAATCACAAGTTCAAAGCCAGCCTCAGACACTTAGCAAGGCCCTAAGCAACTCAGTGAGACCCTGTCTCTAAATAAAATACAAAAAGGGCTTGGATGTGACTCGGTAGTTGAGTGCCCCTGAATTCAACCACTGGTATAAATAAATAAATAAATATTTTTTAAAAACTACCCTTCTTATTATTAGAATCACAACAATAGTCTCAGTCATTAATTATATCCCAAATCTAGAAGCTCTGGGCTCTCAGTTGTGGGCAGTAACTTAGACTTTTCTCTCTTAGATTCCCCCTCAAACTCTTCCCTCATTCCAAACCAAGTGGGAGAAAATCACCTCTTGCTTACATTTAAAGGAATTTGGGGATTGATAATTTGCCCTGGGAGTTGAAAAGCAAATAGAGACCTATTTTATTACTTTGTCATGCTCTGGTTTAATGTGATTCCCTAGCAATTCTGTGACTATCTGACTGTTTCAATAAATGTATAAATTTCAACAATTAACTGTACTTTGTCCATTTTATCATTAAGTTTCCTATGTCTCCAAGTTCCCCAGAGGGTCATGGCTCTTTTCCTGTGATAATAAAGAAAGAACAGAAATCTTGGATTTTGGTTAACTCTGTTTAGATGTCATATTACCCATTATATATACATATACATACATATATATATATATATATATATATATTACCCATTATATATTTAATTATATATATAATTGACTAATATATGCATAACTTTAATGAACCAGCAACTCCCAACACACACACACATACACACACACACACACACATATATATAATGGGTAATAATAGCTGTAATAAAATTTACCTCATGAGTCCCTTAATGAAATCATGGATCTAATTAACAATCATCAATGGACAATGACATGTCCCAAAGAGAGACAACTGACCATCACGAGTGTCCTGGTGGAATATTTATCACTTGTGAAATATTATTATTAAAAAAACAGAATCAGATCAAATCGAGCCTTCCTATCCAAATACCACTTCATTGGGAAAACAAAGGCCAGAGGATCATGTTAAGACCATAGGAATGCAATCAACAAAATCCAGTACCTGTAAAACTAGACAGAACAAATGCCTAGATTTTTTTCAATAAATTGCAAAGGAAAAAACCCCAAAGGGAAAAATTGGTGGGGCGTGATCCTCTAGAGTAAGAGAATTAAATGACACATAACCATGAGTGAGACTTGTATAGAAGCAGATTAAAACACACTCTAAGAAACAAAAAGAATACCAGCAACAACTTTTTGAGACAATCAGAGAAACACATCTGGATATTTCATGGTATTAAAAATTATTGCTGCTTCTATACATGTGATAATGTTTTGTCAATTATATATATTTTAAAAAGAGGCCTTTAGGGTTGGGGCTGTGGCTCAGAGGTAGAGTGCTCACCTACCATGCTGAGGCACTGGGTTCTATCCCCAGCACCACATAAAAATAAACATATTGTGTCCACCTATAACTAAAAAATAAATATTTGAAAGAAGAGAGGCCTTAAGGCTATGTATAGAAATTATTGTGGATTAGATGACAGGAGTTCTGGGATTTGTGATGAATGAGGATGGGAATTATAAGACCAAAAAGGAGATTATAAATTGATAGTTATTGTAGCTGGGAGATATATGGGGGGGTGGTGTTCCACTGCTCTCTACTTTTACATATAATCTGATTTTTTTTCAAAATTATTATAATTATTTTTTTTCCTTTGCTAAAGCATCTAATAATAAGTGAATTTTACAATAAAATGGGGAGGGGCGTGGGGAGAATGGAGGAACTTTGGGCAAAGGGGAGGAAGAGGGGGGAGGAAGATGGAATGGTGGCAGGAAAGATGGTGGAATGAGATGAACATCATTACCCTAGGTGCATGTATAACTGTACGAATGGTATAGCTCTACATCGTGATGTACATCGTGTACAACCAGAGAAATGAAACGTTGTGCTCCATTTTTGTACAATGAATCGAAATGCATTCTGCTGTCATGCATAACCAATTAGAACAAATGAAAAAAATTAGTGGTTAATAATACCTGCTAATATAGCTCAACAGTTTAGAAAGCAGTTAGTTTTATAATCTCATTTCTTTCTCGGCTCTACTTGCCTATGTAGGTTCTGCTCTTGAAAGTCCGGGCTCCTTTCCCTATACTTAAAAGCTTTTAAAGGGGGTAAAGAAGGGGTACGAGTGGGACAGAGAGAAGACGCGTGCCCCCGCGCCCTCCCTTCCCCAGCCCCCGCCAGTTGACAAAAGCAGCGACCTGCGTGATAATTGTAGAAAAAAAAAAAAAAAAACCCTATTCGGCTGGGAAGAGCTTTACTCCCAATGGCCACCAGATGGCGAAGGCTGTCCGCGGCTTAGAGGAAAGCCGCGTTAGCATCCCTGCTGGGAAACAGCCTCGGGACCTGGAGGGAAAGGGCAAGGTGCAGGGTGCTCTTCCTCGCTAATTGGAAAAGCTGGGTCGAACTTTAAGTTACAAAAGTTACTGTGAGAGTTCTGCTGCCTCCACAAGGACTTACAGATGAAGGCTTGGGACTTTTTAAGAAAACAGGAGGAGGGTTTAAGGTGTGTGTTGGGGGGTGAGGGGTGGAGGTGGGGGTGCTGCCTAAAATAAGCAGTGACCCGCACTCCAGCTGCAGTCAGAGATGCATTTGACGCGGGGACACTTTGGGAACCACTGCTGAGGTTTTGTTCAGTGTTTGGCACAGCTAAATCTTTCCCCTGGAAAATTCCATACGCGTCCTTGGTAGAAGAAGAGCTATCTGTGTCGCTAAGACAAGTTTACTTCTAAACCTAATAAGAAGAAATTCGGTGGCCAAGATCAGAGTCCTATCCTCTAAAGAATGAAAATAATAATAATAGTAATAATAATGATGATGAATTGCCTATCAGCGTGAGTCCCTGGCCTCTATCCCCAGCACCGCTAAATTAATTAATTAATTAGGTAATAAATGAAGGGGGGAAGAAAAGAAGAGAAAGGGTGCTTATACTTCAAGCTGTTGACAATCGCTCAGTTTGTGCGCTCTGGGAGGAAATACAACCCACGTGGGTAGCGCCGGAAGCCCTGCAGACCCCCAGGGGTGCACTGGGCCCTGGCCTCTGCAAGTGGCGAGAGAGAATCTGGCCCCCCACAAAGATAGGCGCAGGGGATGGATTCCTTGGATTGGAGTAGCCTTAAACTGGATTTGCCGGGCTAGCGTATTTGAAAGTCAAATCACCAGAATGATAGGTGAGGGTATTGATAGGGGATGGGTATTTCATAGAGGGGGACTCAATGGGGCTCACCAACACGTTTTTACAAATTGCTCTTACCAAGAAGCCCCGGGTGATCTCGGAGTCTACACAGGATGAAAGCTTGGAGTCGGCCAGCACCGGGCCGGGGAAACACCCTGGCGCGAGCCGGGGAGGGGAGTGGCTCAGCGTCCAGGAGAGTAGGAAAAGAATGATTTTAAAATTTTGTCCCCACTGGCGGCTGAATGTTGATAAAAACCAACAGTATGTGGGAATGTCCCCCCCCCCACCGGCGGGTTTCCGCAACACTTGCAGCGATTAAAAATAAAATCGCATCCCTCCTCCTCCACCTCCCCCCACGTTTGATTGGGAAAGGGTGGGGGAAGGAGAGAGACTGTAGAGGATAAAGAAGACAGTGGGTCTGCCTTCAGCCCGGTTTAAAGCTTATTCGAAGGTGTCTAGAAAGGAGGGAAACTAGGGCCAACAGCAGATTTGGAGCCTCTAAACTCCACCGATGGGTTGGGAGATATGTTGCTGGGCTAAGCCGGCTCCTAACCGGGGCCCAAACGCAGGCTGTAAATACAAACGACGAGCTAGTCTGCAGTTTCTCCACCTGCCCAAGTTCTTTTGATTCTTCCCGCCTTTCCCAGGTTTTCTTCCAGGCGTTGGTGGCCCCTCACCCACCCCCAGGACAGCCACTCAATAACTCAGCAACTCTTGGCTTCTGCACGAAGGAGGAATCCTGAAACCACCCGGAGCGAACCCGAGCAGCGGCAGCGTCTGGGTGGGAGGGCGGTTCATGCCCCGAATCCTCCCAAACCAGGAAAAATAATATTAACAATTCCAGGGATTATGCATGGATTGCTTTTCCTCCTTTTCCCTTTTTACCCCAAACGAAAAACCAAAATTGGCTTGTGAAGGATACGTGTGGAAAGAATGGTAAATAATAGTATTTTCAACTCTGAGTTGGATCTTCTTTGCACCGCTTTCCCCCTCTTCCGTTGGAGTTTGTTTTTGTTTGGAGCAAGAATAGAAGCGAACCCCACCGAACCAGCAGACCCCCAAGCCAGCGTCTCAGCCCAGCGCAGGGAAGGCAGCCTGCACCCGGCGCAAATGCGGGGACCCTGGTAGAGATTGTAAACAAATCGGGCGCCGAGCCCTTGATCTTTATTTAAATAGAGTCTTGTTTATCGGTGTCATCCTAGGAGGATTAATTAGATACATCTCTTCACAATTTGGTGTCTGACACTCCATCTTAGGAATGCCTTATCACAAGGTGTTAATTGGGGCCACTCAGCCACTTACGTTTCTATTAAACACTGTGAGGGACTTTTCACAAGTACCAGGTTCTTTTTACTGTACGGTGCAAAAATATACAGGACTTGAAATAGACTAGGGCTCGAGTCGGCTTTATCTCGAATGTGATTAGCGTTTTCGGGCTTTCTAGAGGGCAGAAACAGAAGAGCACCGTTTTGAAATTCCATCGCATCTCCGCAGACGCTAGGCTTGCGCGCGGGTGTGGGGGGGGGGGGTGGGGGGGGGAGGTTGCTGGCCAGGTTAGGCGGGCTATGCATGCTCCACTCCCTGAGTCCAGATCTGGCATCCATAATAAACAAATATTAAAAAGCATATGGTCAAATCGTTCTCCCTCTGTTTCCCGGTGAGATTCGGGGCGGCTTTGCGCAAGAGTTTTGAGCGGACACCGTAAGAGACGCAGAGCTGGAGTTTGAGCCTCTCACGTCATTGGCGGTGGAAGAGCTCGAGCCCCGGAAGGATGAAGGGGATGGGAGCACACGGACAGTCCAGGTACAAGCTCCCGACGGCCTTAATTGGGCGCCGAAGGATAGGAGGTCCTTGCTGATTGCTCGCCTGCTCGCCTCCCAGAAGCTAATCCTCTTAGCAGCTGCATTTCCGCGCGCGGCGCAGTTAGCAGAATGACCCTCCCAGCCAGACCTTTACCCCGGGGTGAGAAGGGGGCTGGAAAGATTTGCAAACTGGGCTTGAAGCCGTCTGCCGATAAGCCTGGCGGGACGTCTGTCGGGAGGGACAAAGGGCCCTCCGTACCACTCCTTGGTTTAACTCAGGGTTAAACCGCGCCCTGCGTTCAGCCAAGGGATGGGGTGTCCTTAGTTCTCCCAGGGACTGTGAGCCAACCAAATGGAGCTAGGTGGGAGGTGAACCGCGGCCCACACACAATTTTGCAGAGCGGGTGTAATCGGGGACAACTGCAATGCTCGTTTGTAAGTGCTGCAGCCGCCCCCAGTCCTCGCCGCAGCTCCGGAGTCCCTAACCAAGTTTGGCTGAACGCAAAGGATGGTGGCCAGCAGCTATAGTGGTGTGTAGCCAGCAAGTCTCCGTTCAGAAAAAGCCCTGATTGGGAGCAATAGGTGGGAGCAAAAGCCAGGCGGTAGGCGGCCCAAGCACCCCACTGTGCCACAGAGACCCGGAACTCGTAGGCGCTAAAAGGGCGGTGGGGGGTTCCCAGAGAGCCTACGCTGATCCAGAATTGGTGGCCTCAAATAAGCCTCCGAAGAGGCTCAGAACTGAGTGACTAAGGGCCAGGGGAGGAGGTTTTTCGAGGTTTAGATTAAGTCTGAAGTGGGCAGTCTTGCATCTCGGTGGCAAACATTCCCTTCCCACCCTCAACTAATACCCATTGTCCAGACTTCCCAGTGGGACAAAGAAATAGATCCATTAATCTTAAAGGGGAAAAGAAGATAAACAAAAGCATCCCCACCCCACCCCCTCATGACTACAGTGTCCAGTTAAAATATTGTAGAGCCCGTTTGTGGAGGGGACTGGTGAGGTAGGGCTCACACTAGAAAAAGAGTGCAGGAAGGAGAAAAATGAGATTTTTAAAGCAAAGAATAAGACCCACAGTACAGAAGAAACAGCTATGCCTGTTCCCTAGTTGAACCACATTTATTAAAAATGACTAAGACTGTACATAAAAATCCAAGATCTCTAAAAAGCCTATAGGAGCTGTGGCATTAGATTGTAGTTTCTTCACATTACCAAGGTGGGGAGTGGGGGATGGTGGAGGAAGAGGATGAAATAGGATTTTTCCTTAAACACGTTTCAAGTTAGTACAGAGTAGCTGAGTACATTCTGAACTATCTAAAAAGTAAATAGAATATTCCCAAAGATCATGGGAATGATGAAACTCTTCCCTTGCCCCTGAAGCCGTTAGGTAACTTGCGAATTCTTTTACAAAGCCAAAGCACCAATTTTACATGATCTCAGACACCTATGTAGCCTATTTGTACAATATATTCCACATTATTCTACAGTGTATCTAAACACACACAACTGTACATTTTAAAATTCTTTTTTTTTTTTTCCTTTTTTGGCGGCTCCCTCCCTTACCCCACTACACAATACAGGCCTAGCAAGTCTCAAGAGAGGCAATCCTGGACAAGGGCAAAAATGGCTTGTTCCAAAGGCCTGGGAGGAATCAGAGTCAGATAAAACCAGCAGTTTCACAAAAGTTTTTCTTGACTCCCAGGCCTAACATCTTTTGCCCCTGGCACAAGGTTAACACCAAAAGGTCCCCAATTGAAGTTTAAGGCCCGGTCCTTCTCTTCCAGAAGCTAAACACCTTAACATTCTGGGCTTCTATTTGCTTAAAGACTTACAAATAGAAATAAGAAAGAAAGGTTTTAACCCATTTGATAGTGCTGGGCACTCACTCTTCTCGGCCTGCTTCTCTGCATGTTTAGTGTCTCCAATAAATAAATCCAGAACCTTGAATTACCTTCAACTTTTAAAACACGTTTTAAAGTCCTCCATTACCTGTATTTTACAAAGGGGGAAAAAATGCTAGGTTTGTTTCAGTTACCTGCAGCAATCAAAAAGCTTTGGCACCTTCTTATAGAGAATTGCACAAAACGGGATGCATCAAGGTGGAAGGCAAACGTCTTTTTGGCAACCTAGGCAAAGAAGACAACAAAAAACACCAAGTCCATCTGCCAAAAATTAGCTAATTTTTACGAAGTGAAAATAACTTTTAGGGAGTTGTATAAAAAGCGTAATACCCCCCCATGCCTTTTGAGGTGTCTTTACTGTACTCTTCAGTATTAATGTCTTCACACTTTATGGAGGGGGAATTGTCATTACTGGAGGTGCTAGGAGACAGCCGCCTTCGCTTACAAGCACTGGTGTATACCCCTGAATCATTGGAATCTAGAGACTTGATGGAAGGAGGTGTTTCTATCCAAGAAGAGCCAATTTCTTCTTTGACTTTCTCCTTGGAGAGCTGATCTTCAGAGAATACAGGAGGGCTGGTTCTGGAGGCCCACGGTAGTCCAGCTGCCATCTTCCTCTGGTAAGAGCCTCGACCTCCCCACCCTGCCATTGCAGGGAAGGTTGGGTCAGGGTAATACCCCAGGGCATGGGATGTCTGGAGGGGCAAGGATTTAATACCATATGGGAGCAAGGTACTGGAAGTATATTCAGATTCATAGGAACCGATGTCTAGTTTGTTGGTCCCAGGTTGCTGGACAGGCGTGACAAGCCATCGCTGGGGAGGGTTGGCCACCTCTTCGCTCTGTTGGGGTGAAAGGAGGCCGTTGGTCTGTGGCACGGTTCTCTCGCCATTATAATATCGGGCTTGAGGTAAAGTGTTGACAAAGGGCTCCGGGAAGAAGGACTGAACGCCGTACCGACCTCCAGGGACAATCTGGTGGGATCTAGGAGAATCCGTGGGAGATGGAGTTAACCTGTCATTTTCTGAAGCGGTGTACATGCTACAATATAAAGAGAAACACTTAAAAAAAAAAAAAAAACTAATATTGTTCCCAAACAAACCACCTCCCAGAAGTGAAAGGGGCTTAGGGGCAGTCAGTCCTCTTTACTGAGAATGCTGGTGTTTTAGACAATTTAGGAAGGAGGCAGGAGATGCCCTGGCCAATTTTAGTTGCATTCTTGGCTCATGGAGAAAATTTTCCACCATTAAAAAAAAAAAAAAAAAAGTTTCCTTCCAGGCATTGGATATTTGAACTATAGAAAATATGCCTTTGCAAGGCCTCAAACATGAAGAACTCAGAGCAATCCTCCCTTTTCAAGGAGATGGAATGAATGCTGCCGGTGGTATTAGAAGACAGAGACTTTTAAATGGCAGGACTTGCTTTTGATGTTGTGAAAAATATATTTTCCTAGTTCCAGGCTTTTCTTATGTCAAAAAGAGGGTAGCCAGGTGTGGTGGTGCATGCCTGTAATCTGAGTGGCTCAGGAGGCTGATCACAAGTTCAAAGTCAGCCTTAGCAATGGTGAGACCCTGTCTCTAAATAAAATACAAAATAGGGCTGGGGATGTGGCTCAGTGGTTGAGTGCCTCTGAGTTCAATCCCCAGCATTAAAAAAAAAAAAAAGGTGGGGGGGAGTAATAATACCTGCTTCTATGAGGATAAAAATCTTGAAACAAATGAAAAGGGAAGTTACATAAGTAATGCAAATTCTTAAAATAGCTGCTTAGATGTTAAAAAACAAAAAGGTGCTTCATGTTTAAGACCTTAATATTTCTTTAGAAATGAAAACTCTTCTGTGCAAATTCTAAAACAAAATTAGTTAAGGCTGAAAATACACAAAGATAAAAATCCCCCCAAAGAAAGCCCTCCCTAGAGTATGTCCCCAGCAATGTCATGATGTGTGTCCTGTTCAAAGGAAGCCAGGAAAATATGAATGAAGCTGCACTTACGAATCATAGTTGTCCCTGAAGCCTTTTGCAAAGGGGTTATGATCAATCTTTAGTTGAGTAATCTAGATAGGGGAGAAAAATAGTCACTGAGTGCTTTATCACACTGGATAAGCATTAGAGATTCTTGGGAAGTTTAGGGCACTCACATCAGTGTTTTGATACGCAGTCACTGCAATGAACTGTGTTTCTGAGAAGGTAAAGGTTTGGGTCTTCGAGGGCTCATTCAAGTCCTCCACACCATCCTCTGTCACTTCCACAATGTGCAGTCGTGGTTGGTATTTGTGTAAAGACTGTAAGACTATCATCTGGAAATGGTACAAAAAAAAAAAGAGTTGCCGAATCTAAAAAGTCTCTTAAAGCATCAAAAGTAGATTTTAACAAATTATTTACCTTCAGATGGGACTCCTACTTGCTCCCCAACAACTTTCTTTATTTTACTGATATGTTTAAGATCTTATCATTGCCACTTTTGAAAAACTTAAAACATAGTACACCTGTAATCTCAGTGGCTCAGGAGGCTGAGGCAGGAGGATGGCAAGTTCAAAGCCAACCTCAGCAAAAGCAAGGCGCTAAGCAACTCAGTGAGACCCTGTCTCTAAATAAAATACAATATAGGGAGGGGACGTGGCTCAGTGGTCAAGTGCCCCTGAGTTCAAGCTCCAGTACCCACCCCACCCCACCCTCCAAAAAACAAATAATGTAGCTAATATGTGTTTGATAAACACTCTTTTCCTCTTGGTTTCCTAAATCCCCCTAAATATTTCTGTTCCTAATAGTCAATACACTGTTATTTAAATCCATTAAGAAAAAGAAAATAAGAAAGTTTTTTAAAAAAATCAGAAGTATGTGAGCAAACAGTTCACAACTGCAAATATTATAAACACAGTGAAAAGTATGGACTCTTATTAGAAAAGAGACCAATAGCCAGAAGACACCCCCTCCTCCTCTGTCACTCTACCTGGGTGTTGTTGTTATTTGCTCCTTTGTTATTGGTGAGTTTTAATTTCCCAAAGGAAATTTCCTGTCTCATCCAGTGGGAGCCAGTATTAG